GGTGAACTAGTGACCCACAGGAGGCTGCTGTGAACGCTGTGCATCCATCAGCGTGTTCCTGCCACTGCCATGTGTGGATCTGGAAAAGACATTTTCATTTTTGGAATGTTGGGAGTGTCAGTAAATAAGCAAATGCAGCCATGAGAAAGCACAGGAGGGCCACGTGCCAGGGTGTCCCAGGCTTGCACCCCTTGCTGCTGACTTCCTTTGTGTTCAGATGCAGAATGGACATTTCATAGCCATGAAATCGTGCATGACTTTGAAGATGAAAATAAGGCAGCAGGGTTTCTCCTACCCAGTCTGACAAAATGCCCTGATGTGGCAGCATGAAGGTGAGGCAGTTGATTAGTCAGACCAAAAAAACAAAAAAAAACAAAACAAAGCCAGGGTTCTTTCTCAGGCAGGCATCTCTCCCATCCTGCAGTTGTCTTATGAGCAAAGCCAGCACTGAATGATCAGATAGAAGTAAAACCATGCATATACCTTGATGGAGTTGAATTTTCAGATACAGGCTTTATGGGAACTGGTGAATGTCAGATGATGTGTTCCCCTGGTACACACACACACACACACACACACACACACACACACACACGACCTCTCATGTCAGACCTCTCATGTCACGGAAGAGGTATTGATGTTTGCCTTTCTTTATCAACAAGGTTGCTTCGAAGCGGCCCTGTCTCGAGGAGATGGATGTCCCAGGAAAGAGTGGGAGACTTGTTTCAGCTCTTCCCGGTCCCTGGCAGAGCTGCTGATATCTTCAACTAATGAGACAGAAGACATCAAGAGGAAAAGAAAAAAACGAAGTGTCCTTGCCCGCGTTGCTTAGTTACCTCATCAACATTCTCCTGCAGCCCAGCCACATTTTCTGGGCATATTTTTATAGTGCACATGTTTTATTGCTGTAATGGATCTATTAAGCAGAAAATATGTATAACACATGGAGCGCCTGTCCATTTGAGCCTGTTTCTTTGGAGTTCCGTTTTGCTCTTTTCATAAGGCCTCACTCTTTAGGGCCTTTTTATCTTCTGACACAGTTCCTGGCAGAATTTGACTCGGAAGGAAGCACCTCGCTGTCCACGCTGCTGCATGTAACTTCGTAAGAGGAAAAGCAACGCTCAGAATTAGACACCAAATTGTGCACGCTTCAGAGACAGGGACCCCATTACAATGAGCCTAGTCTGGAGTCTGACAAACAAAAGGCTGTTAGTAGATATCTATTGATTGGATGAGTGATTGGGTTCATCTCTTTATTGACAACCAGCGTTGTAGTGGGTGCAATTCATGGCACTCAATTTGCTCAGAGTTGCTGCTGAATGAGCAGAACTTGTGACCTTTCTGCTTTGTGGAGGCTAGGCGAGGAGGAAGAGAAACCTCCGGCTGCTGCTGCTGCTGCATTTTACTCAGCCAAAAAGGCTGTTCTGTGTGAGGTGGGGGCAGCAATAGCAGCAGAGGTATCAGTAGCAGCAGTCACACTCCAGCTGGTATTTACAGAAGGGTGTTCATTGGGGACCTCCGTCCCCAACAGTAAGACTGTGTCATAGACACTGAGTGCCAAAGAGATTGAATTCCAAATTTGGAGTCTCTCCTCATCCTTTTTCTCAAACACACCCACATCCTCAGCTAATGACTTTGTTTATCATGCAAGCTGTCGACAAAGCAACAAAGGGAAGTTTGTTTATTCTTCCTTTTACACGCTCAGGCAGGCAGCTCTCCAGCCCTGAGCTTCTAACGCCTTGATGTTTGTGAAAATGCAGATTCCAATCCAGTAGGTCTAAAATGAGGCCCAAGAGTCTGCATTTCTCTAACCAATTCCCTGACCACGGATCGGATCGGCAGAAGACTCTCAGATGCCAACCCCAGGACAGGCTAGAATCTGGATTCTAGGTCATAACCTGCATTTTAACAAGTCCCCTGTTACCAGGTGAGAACCACTGCCCTCACTAGTTAATTAGCCCATGCAACAGACAATGCTTAGGGAACCGTGCTGGGACACAGTTGGAAAGTAAGGTCAGGTGGATTTACTCTTCCCTTTTTCATATCAAAACTCTTTTATGTACCTGATCCGCTATAGCATCTGCCACTTTGGAAAAAGACCCACTCATGTGCCCCTTTGTTCAGTCATTCAGTGGCATGACACGTCGGATAATAGCCATCCTGGGTTGCCATGGCCTTCAAATGTCAGCCCAACCCCTCCATAGAACTTCATCCTGGACCAAAACGTTTGACCAGTGAGACACCTCCTGCTCATGTCTGGGCATGCAAGAATGATTAACAAGAGGGGACCAAGCTCTGGGAGATCAGTTTGGTCATCTGTAAAATGGGGATAATAACACCCCCTGTTCTGACTCCCTTTGCATGGCTGTCATGAAACACTTTGAATACACATGTAAAGAAGCTTTGAACGTGTAAGGATGGTCATGCGATTTTAAAACAGATTCACTGAGGGAAAGTCGCCTGTGTTGTAGTGTCAGAGTATTCTGAATTCAAAGTGTAGACATATCAACTACTAATGTGAACTTGGCAATTTATTTCATCTAATTGAGCCTCAATGTCTTTTCTTATATAACTGATCAAAGAAACCTTCACCCCGTAAGGTATACCTCGACAAGTATATTGTCGAGTTTGATTAATTAAGTACCCAGTTGAAAAAATAATTTCTCTCTCATTTAAGTCTGTGAAGTCGGGGCCAAAAGAGAAGGTGCTCTTTAAACTTCTGAATGTTTTGGATAAACACTGTCCAAGCCAGGAAACTGATACCTTGACATTTGTTTTCTATGTACCTCTAGAAAAGAAATCCCTGGAAAAAAAAGAAAAGAAATTCCTGAACCCCAAACAAGACGGTCATACTTATTAAAATATCGGATACTAATTAAAGTATCTGTCTCTGCAAGGTTTTGCAGTAAGGCGGCCTTGCTGTGATTAGTCTATGTAATCCACATGCTCCCCCGAGGGGTGCAGGAGAGACTTGTTGATGGCTTCCACCCGAGCTGAGCATGGGGTCAGCAGGGCTTTTCCGTATGGATGTCCTGCCCGGGCTGCTGGAACACAACAGAACTGCTGGTGGTGTTTGTTGTTGGTAGCTGCCTTAGAATCAGTTCTGACTCATAGCAACGCTGAAACATTGTGCGGTTCCACATCATCCTAACAATGGTTCTTGTGTTTGAGACCATTGTTGCTGCCGCTGGGTCAAGCTTTCTCCTTGGGAGTCTTCCTCTTTTCCCCTGACCCTCTGCTTTCCTGAGCACGATGTCGTTGTCCATGAACTCTTGAAGCATGCCCTAAGTAGGTGAGAAGAAATCGTGTGATCCTCCTTTCTAAAGCGCATTCTGCTTGTGCTTTTCCCCAAGAATTGGTGGTACTAAGTGTCACGTAAGACAATACAAGAAGATGTCAATGAGCACTTCTGAATGGATAGGACCCTCCTCAGAAGAATGAAACAGCAAATCTCATTTACTTGAAACACGCGGGGATAGTGGTTGGGTTGTTTCTGCTTTATTCTCAGCAATTAAACATTTGAGACACAGAGGAACCCTTGTCTAGTGCTGTTTTGTGTTGTGTATGCGTGCAGAGGTGTGTGTGTATTTGAGTCCTTTCCCACCTTTCTTTATCTTCTCCATCTCTAGCTCATGCTTTTATGTTGCAAAGCCCTGTTATGGTCCTTAGTTTTCCTCAGGGTGATTTAGACAAATCATGGTAAGATATTCTTTTGAAGAAGAATAGGGGAACCCTCACTTTGTCTACAGCTTAAGAAGGAAAGATTCATTGTTTGGGTGTTGATGTTCTTATAGGTGATATTCCAAAGTATCCATGAGTATAATTCCACAGCCTTGGGCAGAGAGTCTGACTGTCTTCCAGGTAGATAAGTGTATTCTAAGTGGAACAAAAAAGAAAACTTACCAGGTAGGGCATTTCCGTGCAAACCGTGTAGGAATAGAGGGGTCACGAGGGAGGATGTGAGGAGGCAGTGGCCACAGAAAAGGAGGGACAGAAGCATTCAACTGAAGGATGAGCAGTTCTGAGAAGAAAGCAGAGTACGAGAAGGACCCGGGATGCCTCAGGGTGGGGATTTTTGTTTGTTGCTTTGATAATATAAAGGTGACTGTGGCCTCACCTCAAAGCATGGTTGAGTGGCGGAAGGGCAGAACCCCTTCCAGATAAGGAAGGAGCAGTCCAATGGGGCCTCCATTTGAACAGACTCCACCCTCCATGGCAGACCCGGTTAGCATCTGGGCATAGCTATTGATTGATTGGGTTAGTGACTGATCCAGAAAGGGGTTAGTTTTCTCCTTGTTTTTCAAGGCCAAGGTGATAGTTACTACCTCCACCCAATATATTCATTAGTCTTTGGGGACTGTGTAGAGGGAAACTCTGAGTAAAGGGGCCTTAAAGAACCAACAAGAAAGATAGGTCAAGGGTGATCAATTTTAGAATATAAGGCCATGTGTAAAGACAATCTCATAGTAGTCAAGAAATTGGTCACCAGAAAGAAACTGCCTGGCCAAATGGTGCAGAGCGGGGCAGGCAGTGTTTCATTCTGTTGACCCTGGAGTCCACCACCAGGTCTGTTGTTTTCCCTGGAAGGGACACCCACTCTCACTGTCCTCTCTTCAGGAGAATCCTTCTCTCTTTCCAGCTTCTATTCCTTGGTGGTCACGTGGCTTAGCATCTATCTGTCCCCAACTCTGTTTACTTGACTTGCTTCAGTTGCCTGCTTTTTATATTTTCAAAGACGTTGATTCAAGACATGACCCATACCAATCCTGACTAATTAATGTCATGAAGAAATCCGTATGGGATTATCACCATGGGTACGAGGTTGGGATTTACAACACATATTTTGAGGTCCACAGTGCACTCCCCGGCCTCTCCCATATGCCCACCAGATTTCTGGGAGGATCACATGAGATCATGGAGATGAGAGAATTGAAAACCTTTGTCGTTTTAAAAATGTCAACGGTGCACTCAGAAGTTTTCCCTTTCTTTTCTGCCTTTAGGAAGCACCATGAGGTTCCCCTGGAGAGCATTCGGGAGAAAGATGGACCATCATGTTTAGAAGAAGTTGAAAGTTATCATCTGCCAGACTGGGGCCCGAAGGCTGGCAGTGGAAAACCCTGTTGGGCTGTGATCTCTCGCTGAAGAGTTCCACGTGTCTTTTTGCATCCTGCAACAGGAAGGAAGAGAAGGAGAAGACCATGTCCATAGCCCTGAAACAGGTGTTCAACAAGGACAAGACCTTTCGGCCCAAGAGGAAATTTGAACCTGGCACACAAAGGTTTGAGCTCCACAAACGGGCTCAAGCTTCCCTCAACTCAGGGGTAGACCTGAAGGCGGCAGTGCAGCTGCCCAGCGGGGAGGACCAGAATGACTGGGTAGCTGTGCACGTGGTGGACTTCTTCAATCGGATCAACCTCATCTACGGCACCATCTGTGAGTTCTGCACTGAGCGGACCTGCCCAGTGATGTCAGGGGGGCCCAAATATGAGTATCGGTGGCAGGATGACCTCAAGTACAAGAAGCCGACTGCGCTGCCAGCTCCCCAGTACATGAACCTTCTCATGGATTGGATCGAGGTCCAGATCAACAATGAGGACATATTTCCAACGTGTGTGGGTAAGTCCGTGACAAGCATCTCAGTTGTCCTGCTGTGCCTCACTGGTGCTCAGGTGGTTTGCAGAGATGGTTTGCAGACTTCTTCCAGGACTCCCTTTGGATACTGAGAAACATCCCTGCCATTGTTTCTCTCAACTCTGTCTCTCATATACCTTCGGTGTCTTTCTCCATAGCGAGGCATCTTTTTGAAATGCAAAAAAAGATGACCAGTGACCCACTTAATACTGTGGACCCCAACGTTCACACACGCGGTGTGGGGAACACTGACTTGAAATGCTAGGTTGGATCTGTTTGACTTCAGTCTCTCCTGGTGATTGTGTCAAGGTCTCTGTGTTTTGGCTAATTGACTTTGGTTTGTTGTTTGCTAGGTGTTGTTGTGTAGATTCCAATTCTTAACAACTCCCCGGAACAGAGTAGAATTGCCGTGTAGGGTAGTTACCACTGCTAAGTCTGCCTCCTTTTGTTCCACTGGATGGGTTCAAAGAGCTAGTAGCTGGGTGTCTAAATATACACCACCAGGGCTCTCTCTCTTGACTAGTTGATTCTGGTGCAGTGGTTGGTACTCATCTCTTTGGATTCAGTGCAAGAACCCATGGATTTGCTAGGAGGTCAAATGACATTCTGGGGAAATAAAGATTCTAGTATTTTGTTCTTCCTTATCCTGCACCTAGCGTATCAGTTCCTGCGTGTACTGTAAACTGTAGACCCTCATATAAATGATGAATCCACTGGGAGTTTTGAAATGAAATGCAAATGCTTTGGTTTGCATTGTGCTATGAACCGTAAAGTTTCATGTAGGAGCAAATCTTTAGTCCCTCTTATATTTCTTTTTCTCTCTCTCATATTTCTTTACCTTGTCAATGGCTGGATTTTCTGTGCATGGACTGGCTGAACTTATAACTCATTTTTAGTGCCCTAGGCTCAGTAGGAGGAGACACTGATGGTACAAATAGTTAACATACTGGACTGCTAACCAAAAGATTGGAGGGTTAAACCTATTCAGCAGCACCTCCAAAGAAAGGCCTGGTGATCTTATGTGTTGGTGAGGTTAGGTTCCAAAGACCATGCTGTTATGTAACGTCAAAGTTATGCCAAGATGGAGCATGACTACATCATTGCATAACTGCCAAGTCACTGAGAATCATGGCTCAGCCAAGTTGACACATAACCAATCACAGCCTGCATTTGCTCTCACCTCACACCTCAGCTTTAATGTGCCAGAGTCTGATGGGAAATTTCTTACTATTGCTGTAAATGTGAAATGTCGGATAACAAGATAGTTGATAAACGAGGAGAAGGTGTACTTTCTAAACATCAACCACGGAGAACCCTCTGGCGCACAATTCTAGTCTGATATACGTGGGGTCAACTGAGTCAGTGTCAATCCGATGAAAATGGATAAGCTCAACGTTCGGAAGCCCTCACTCACTTCCACTGCTGGAACTCTCGTGCCTAACACAGTGCCCAGGAGAGTGTGCAGACAAGCAGGAGATGTTTGTGAAATGCTTGAATAAAAACTCATGCTAGAGGAAAGTATATATAAAAGGCCCAATATGGTGGAGTACCAAAATGCGTTTGAAACACACTGTTAAAATCACCTTTAGGAGAGGTGTTCATCCTTTACATGTGGCATATGGAAAATTGCGATGGGACTTATGGAAGTAATTAAGTTTATGCTAGAAAAATGGTACAAAAATTTATGTACATCTTGTACATAAATGTAATTGTACATCTTGAAATATTCCGCACAGAAATCAGTTTGCTCTGCATCCTTGTGTTGCCCTGACTTGTCCCCTTCCCTCATGTTCTTTCTGCCTCTCTTGTCCCTTGTTAGCACGCAGGAGGTGGGGTCTGTGCTGGCACAAATGCTCTTGGTCCACCTGTGTAGGAGGAAGAAGGCAGGTGATGAAAGTTCTCCTAGCTAAATAGAGGAAAGAGCTAGGAGGTAAAGGGCATTTATAGAGGTCTAAATAAAGGCATGTACATATG